ATATAGGTGGGAATTTTCGGGAATACCCGAGGAATTAAAAAAAAAAAAAAAAAAAAAAAAAATGTCCTTTGATTGTCTTATTCCAGGCAACAGCAACATTTACAATCCAAACAACCTTAGTTGCTCCAATCAAATGTTTTCATCTCCAAATTCCATATTTTACCTGACAAAAATTCCAGGATTCATCAAACAAATTTGCTATGAATTTCTGGTAGATGGTTGTCAGGCCCTAAATGTTAATAATGGGAAGGTTTTGTAAAATATTTAAAAAGATGAGAAAGAACGGATGGGTGCTATCTCTTAATACTATTGCACCTTTATTTATTTGTAATTGTTTTGGTTTAGGTTATTAAGAACAAATTTGGGTGTGTTCTTCTATCGGGTGTGTTCTAATCGTTGTGTTTACATCGTGCCTCCCTAGGAGACCAGATACAAAGATGCAAGCGAGGCCTTCGACAGTGGTGTCGACGGCCTGACTGCTGACACCAGCTCCCCCTCCCAGGTTTCCAGCCTCCTGTGGTTCCCCGGAGCCTCCAGAGCTCAGTCGTCAGGAGCCATCCACCAGACAACCAGCGACGCTGTCCGCCAGAACATCTACGAAAACTTCATGAGAGAGCTCGAGACGGGAACCGGAACAGGAGGGGGCGACAGGAGAGACCCATCGACTGGAACGGAAGAAGACGGAAGCAGCAGCGAGTCGGCCGAGGGCTCCATGGAGGAGCTGGACCTTTTGTTTGAGAAGGAGCAGGGAGTGGTCAGAAGGGCGGGGTGGCTGTCCTTCAAGCCCCTCGTTACCCTGCACAAGGACAGGAAGCTGGAGCTGGTGACCCGACGCAAGTGGAAGCACTACTGGGTGACTTTGAAAGGTAAGCCTCAAACTCGTGAGTTTTGACTTAATGCTGAAAAACGTGAGTTGGGAGAAGCCGAGGAGATTATTCTAATATCCTTTCTCAAACGTTGCTTAGCTAAGCACAAAAAGGTTCCTGTTTGCTCTCAATCAGGGTTTTTACTCTCGTTCCGGATCAGTGAGTCACAGTTGACTTAAAGTAACTTTTTACTGTAAATGCTTTTAGGGGAATTATGTTGTTGCTTTAGGCCGCCGGGATAAACTCTTTCAATAAAATGTATGTGTGCTTTCACCATTATGATGATAGAGAAAAATCTTGTAGGAAATGAGAGAGAGTCAACAAAGCTTATTTTAACCTTTCAGAGGACATTGTATTCCTTTAAGAAAGGTTCTCTAGACTTTAGCATATGCAAAGAGTTCGCTGAACATTTTTCCCTTTTTTTTTTTTCCCCCGAGGATGCACGTTGTTGTTCTATGAAACTTACGGGAAGGGCTCTACAGAGCAGGAGCTGTCACCCCGCTACGCCCTCTTAGCCGAGGACAGCGTCGTCCAGGCTGTCCCAGAACACCCCAAGAGGGAGAACGTCTTCTGTTTGAGTAATTCATTTGGAGACGTCTACTTGTTTCAGGTAAACCCTTAACTTTTAGTCTTTACTGCATGTGCATGTTACTCTACAGTAGTGTAATAGAGACGTACATTTGTCCAATAGCAATTTAGACCAGCTTCCTGCTTCTTTGCTTCCTGTGACTTCACGTCACTGATACAGAAACTAGCCAGCTTTAGATTTTCTTCACCCAGTACGTGTGTGCTGAGTGAAGTATTATTGTTAACACTCTTAACAATGAGAGTTTTCTTATTGTTAACCTTTTGCTACTTAGATTAATGAAATTTGGTGATTTCACTGAAATATGGAGTTTATAGCTTCCTGACCTGCCAGTTGAGGCCAGTCTCAAATTGGACCTTTTGCCCCAGCAGAATTCTCAGTGCATTGCTGATCTTTCCATGTTGTACTTACACCAGGTTGCAGATACATTAGAGTATATGAGATTATGAGTTAAGTCATTTCATTGAAAATGACCTTCAATTAATTCCTGAGCCAATACTTTGTCTCCTGGACACTTTATTTCAGTAAAATTACAGGGGACATTTATGCTGATGCTTTCTGATACTGGTGCCAAATATCAACCAGTCATCCAGTGATCCTTCCCAGCCTATCTAGGACTAATTATTATTTTTTAAATAATAATACTAGCCATGCTGCAACATTTACTACCCTGCTAGTTTTGAACCTTGTCGCTAAACTGAACGTCAGCCTTCAAGCCTCATCACATCCCCTTCTCTTTGGTCATCTCAGGCCAGCAACCAGACGGATCTGGAGAACTGGGTGACGGCCATCCACTCAGCCAGCGCCTCGCTGCTCGCCAAGCGGCAGGGAAAGGAGGACACGGTGCGTCTGCTGCGGAACCAGGTACGCACGCTGCTGCAGAAGATAGACATGGATGGGAAGATGAAGAAGATGGCCGAGCTCCAGCTGACCGTAGTCAGCGACCCCAAAAACCGCAAAGCTATTGAGAACCAGGTGAGTCGAGAGGAAAATATAGAGAGAAATATTTTTAGTACTTCAAAATGTCCATCTATGAGAACGAATCGGCCTGCGTAGGTGAGGATGCAGGTTAATTTTGGCACATTTCTAAAACATTTAGTGTGCCACGGTGCCCGAGTGTGTGTGCTCTACTTATTTTTCCTGATTTGGCGACTGTGGCGACAGGTCTGTGCGCTTAGTTTTAGTCTGTGGGTGGTTAAAGTGGCCTGGACGCATCAGTCCCCAAATGCATTGCTGGGGGCTCGGGGGAGCTGCTTGTTCCTGCAGCATCAGATTGGGATTCCAGATGTTTTCTGGTAATAGGCTCTCAACATGCATTATCCTATTCCTCCTCCTCGAACAGCCTGAAGGGGGAAATCCAAAGCACTCAGTGCTGTGCTGTAGCCTACATACAGCAGATTACAGAGAGACAGAAAAAGACCCATAGTTTAACCAGAAGCCTAATTCTTTTTTTTTTTTTTTTTTTTTTTCAAAAAAACTACTGTTAGCTGACGAGACAGGCTGTTTATTTTCACAACTTACAAATCATGTCAAAGGATTGACATTCTGCAACGTTTCTGCTGATGGTGCTTAAAAAAAAAAAAGCAAAACGAAGTGTCGTAGTTATTGTAAAATGAATAAAAATCTAATCTTGCATGATATATTCTCAACAGCTCACTGCAGGCATAACCATTAGAGATGTCACTGCCTGACTACCACCAGGCTGCCTGCGCTCACGTCTGTTTCCAATTAGCCGGCATGCCACCGCAGAGAGACAAGCCGGAGTTGGAGTGAATGATAGGGTCAGAAGTGGTACAGGACAGGACTCTGATAAAGGCGCCTCGAGGCTGATGATAAATTTAAGTTTCAGCTGGGTTGTCGAGCACCGACAGGGCACCACTTTGATGTCCTTTCCTACCCCCACACCCGTGTCTGCTCCAATCAGTGCCAGCAGACCTTGTTTGATGTTGCCCTTTCCCACCCCAGCCACCAACCCCCCCCTACCCCCCCCAACACGCGAACACACAAATGCCCATATGCACTTACACACTGTGTGATCAGGTTTCACTAAAAGAATATTCATGCATGCAGATATTAAAGCAGAGAACAAGAAAAGTCAAACATCTGGTTACAGAAAAAGTTTTCCAGACTGAGGCTTCGGGTCAGTAATTACTTCTGAAAGAAAGCCAGGTGGGCTTAAACTTGAATCAAACCTGCTTCATTCATGAAGAAAAAAACAAACAAACAAAAAAGCAAACTCTAGCAAACATTCTGCGCGACTACTCCACTCCTTGCATAAATCATCTAAGAAATTTTACACACAGAACATTTCAGGAGAAAAACTGACATTTTTCCCCCCTAAATTGGTAGTCAATTTAGGAAAAAAACATTTTTTTGAAATTTGTGCCACACATGTGTAAATCAATGGCAAAACTTGAAGCGGTCTCAGCCAATCTAAACAGGTGTGGGGTTGTAGCAACATCAACAGTCCTCGAATGCCACCATCCTACTACTTTTGGATGCATCTCTGCTCCAGCACACCTGAATCCTTTGGGGTGGTTAATAACCCAGAGCTTTGCAAAGGAGGTAATGCAGACTTTTATTTGAGCAGTTATGGAGCAGAGAGGCATCCAAAAGTTGGTGGACATTGGCCCTTGAGAAGTGGAATTGCCAATTGACATTAATCAGAGAGTAATGGAAACGAAAGAACAAAAGTATTTAAAAAAAAATCTGAAAAAGCGAAACATCAATTTTATAAACACTTTTCTCTGACACCCCTAAAAAAATCCCACTGCAACCAGCTGCAGTCAGAAATCATCATTTTTTTGAAAATAACTTCTAATTATTTGATTGCTACAGTTTTTTAAGGCCTCAATTATTTTCTTAGATGGGAGAGTCTGTCAAAAGAACAACTATTCGTCTTGGACCCTACAGATGTGATCTTTCCTTTCCTATCTCCTTAAATCTAGTCACTGTTAACAAAGAACAACTGTTTTCAGTTTCTATATTTCTAAAACATAGCTGAGTAAAATCACCAGGTTAAGCACATATCTTTGTGAAATCCACTTGCCTCACAAGCTATTAAAATCTACGATTGAGACCACCTTACCTATCCACAGGGGGGCGGGGGGGGAACCCAGACCTTTCGCCACAGTTGACAAGTGGGGCACATAAATCTGGTCCTCAGTGACCAAGTATTATGCCAGATGTAGTATATTTTCAACAAGAAGAATTCACAGGGTAAGCTGGTCTTCCTGGCCTACTTGTTAACTGTGCCCACCTGCGCAGCCACATAATTGTTCAGTGCATTAGCCGCACAGTAATGTCACCACAAGACCTTTGTTTAAGATGTTTGTTTAAGGTGTTCATAAAATGCCACCCTTCGGCCCTGTTCACAGTTTGCCCCTAATCCCGACGAATGCATGGTGATGTGAGCAAAACCCTAATGGGACATCGCCGTGGGTCCATTATAGTAAATGAAGTCATAGCGCAGACGAGACCTATTAAACTCGGTTGTTACAGGGGGGGTTAGAGGATTGTTTTAGCTCGAGTGTTCTCGTTAAAACCAGTCTCCAGCCAACAAAATGAGCACTTTCCTATAGCTAAAATAACATAACTGTATACGGGCTGTTGTGGTGGAAGTTTATGTGCACGGTCTGTTCAACAGCCCCCTGGTTCTCGAGACATAAAACGTGCATTTGGGTTCGCTGCGCACATAGAAATGCCTCTCTGTGAAATATGCAGTCATTTGTCACCAGCAAAACCTCCACCAAGACACGGTGCTGCCCGCCACCAGCATCTGCAAGCCATTACACTTTAAACTAAAACACTTGCCTGACCCTGCATCTCTTTTGATCCCCTTCCCCAAAAGCACTCCTTGTTTAGTCATCACCCAAAGAAGTAATTCACATAAATCAAAACTTAAGCATTGTTTTTTTTTTTTGGTTTTTGTTTTTTTCCCCCACTTGCCATCAGATTCAGCAGTGGGAGCAGAACTTGGAGAGATTCAACATGGACCTCTTCAGAATGCGCTGCTACCTTGCTAGTCTTCAGGGGGGGGAACTGCCCAATCCGAAGAGCCTGCTTGCCATCGCCAGCCGTCCAACCAAGTCCACTCTGGGACGCCTTGGGGTTTTCTCTGTGTCTTCTTTCCATGCACTGGTGAGGAAGACGACCTCAGAATAGAGACGGACGTTGTTTTTGTTGACTCTAGTCCTGACTCTGTGCATCCCTTCAGATCTGTTCCAGGGACGAGGCCACAGCCAGGAGGCGTTCGTTGTCGGTGACTTGTGGCCAGCGAAAGAGAAGCATTTTCTCCTCTCTTAAAGGCCTGGACAACCTGACGAAACGGGGCCGGGACAAGAGACCCTCTGTAGCGCAGGTATTACTCAGCACAAAGACGCATTTTAAACGTAGTTGTCAACACTGACACTGTCACATTTTCTGTAAGTCTTGCACTTAAAAGTTGCATCAAGCCTTTGAGTAATATGTCTGCATTATCTTGCGAAAGTTTGGACACTTCTTCATTTTGCAACATTAAAACCACAAACTGAGTGGTCCAGTGTATGCTGCTCATCTGAGGATTTGCAGAAACTCTGCACTTGGGTTTCTTTATGTATGAAATGTCCTGGCCAAATGAAAGTTCTTGCCATCGCTAGTAAAAGAACGAGTTCTCCATTCTTGCAGGTAGTGAAAAGGCAGTGCATTGAATCGTTTAAAAAAAAAGTAATGAAGCACTTTAAGATGACCTATGATTAATCATCACAGGTCTGAGATGATTAATCATTCCACCTTATCTGTTCAGGAGGAGAATTTCACAAGTGACCACAGAGTATTAGCATGCAGAATTGATGTGTGGACAAAGTGTTTGTATACATATTTGAGCATATTTTCGTTATGAAAACAACCTGAAACCATGTTGCACTTTTGCTTACTTGCATGTATTTCTGCAGCACTTTCAGCACATTTTCACCCCCATCCTCCCCCCCAAACCCCATGTGAGCGTTTATTAATGAAGAGCACACAGGCTCGCATCTCTCCTGGCTTCTTTCGAAGTCTGAGAGCAAACCTCTCATCAGCATGAGCACACGGGAACATTCCTTACCCAGGTGCAGACGGGGAAGTCTATCCTCTCAGGTTAGTAATTAGAGTTGCGCAGGCTGCCTATTTCTCAGTGCTAAATCAGTTATAAATCCTCCACGTGGCGCCCTCAGGGCCACGGACGACACTGAGGAAGCACTTATTTACTCAAGCGTTTCATGGACCCCTGGGTTGTAGCTGAGAAAAGTGGGGTACATCTGAATGCCGAGACCTCGGTTTTATTTATTTTTTTTAAGCTAACAGGACAGCTACGAGTTAATTATAATCTTTAGGTGAACCCGTACTCCTTACAGCTTGCAGCGTGTTCCCTGTCCTCTTTTGCTCCCTCTCATCTATCCCACCACCTGCTGTGTGATATTTATGTTTATGCATTTGTGCATGTCTGTCAGCATCTAGGTACGCTTCCCCCTGTGTTATTTTTCCATGGAGTTCCTGCCGCCGAGCTTAATGAGGCGCAGTTCCATTTTGCTGCGCAGAAGGCCAAGGTGGCGCTGTATCACATAGATGAATTATTAAAAAGCTGTGTGTGGTAGATGACATTCTCTACCCTCACTCCTGTAGACTCCAGCAGACGTAGCTTCATAAACTTCACGTTCAAGGATCCAAGTCTGATTTGGAGATGAGATTAAACGTCTGGAACAACTTGTGATGAAACCATTTCTTTTATTAAATGAGTTTAAATCTCCTGCTCTCCTGTTTTCATAACTAAGCACTTTGATATGAATGTCGTAGCTTTTAATGTCTAGTTTTATTGCTGCGATATGTTGAAGTCACAAATGAGTGTTGTTGACCAAGTGGGTCATATCACAGAGACAGAGCCTGTAACGGCAACCAATACAGTCTCTCTTTGTACTAAGAATGTCTGTGTAAAAAGTACACTGGCACTTAAATTTAAATTACTAAATTTCTCAGGGTTTTCAGTTGTATTTTACACTCCACAATAATAGTAGTGTCCCCTTATGCTTCTGTCTGAACTGTAAAAATTCCTGCATTTATTTTGTTTTCAGCATGACAAAAAATGAGTCTATTTTTTTTCCTTTTGGATTTGAACTGAGACTTCTTGATGAGACAAACTCTCCAGAACACGTTTAATTTATTTTTGTGAGATATCTCTGCCTTTCTTGTCCCAAATCAAACACGTTGTCTTTTTACTCTTTACCTCTCCATCCTCTGCATAGGTAATCACTAGAATCTTGTGTTTTCTCTCGCTTTCCCTCTCATCATCTTTCTCCCCACCCCCGTTTCCAGCCCAATTCTCTAACACAAACAGTTCCTCAGAGCATAAACAGAGCGTTACCCAGCAGTCCTTCTCTGACAATTTCCATACTGACTCATCTGTGTTGACTAAGCCTAAATCCCATTTACCACAGCAACGCTCTGCTCCAGAGCCTTGCCCTGAAGTCACGCTTTCACCCCTTTCTCCATCCTTCCTCCTTGGTTACTGTTCCCTCGTCCATCTTAGCAGTGCTACAGTAGGGAGCTGGCCGTCGGTCGGCTGTGGTAAATAGGCCAAGGTCTGAGGATTTGTGGGCGCATTGGTAAATCTTTCTAAAATTAGACAGTTTACGGCGAAGCGGCACCGTTTACTGCCAGGTTATAAATGTACGCATGCTGAGGGGGAAGAGGAGACGCAAGACGAGGCCTCCTGCTACCATAACAGAGACTTGAAAGCTTTCTCTTGGATCGTTTGTGCAGTTAAGTAACTTCACGGCATCAAGTGTCACTTTCATGTCAGTTTTAACTGCAGTGTGCCTGCTATGATTGAGGGAGTTTAAGGTAATGGATTTGCTACTTGTTTCTTTATCACTAAAGATGCAAATAGCAAATCTCGTTTGCTGCAAGATTTCTCCAACAATGCATAAGGCTTGTTCTAATGTTGAAATAAACATTTCTTATTGAGCAATTTCTATCACATAAAAAAAAAAATCATGCAGATATTTCTACATGTTACAGTATTTATTCAAATTCAACTCTTTTTAATCAAAACTTCAGTTACGGATTTTAACGGGCATTGAAATAAAACTTTTTTTTTAGCATAACAACTAACAAGGTAAATCTCCCCACACATATTCTATCCAAAGGGACATAGGAGCTTATTTTGACTAAACTTTTGAAGGAATGTTTTAACATTTTGTCTCGGACTATTCTTCTAGGTGAAAGGTTAAATACGAGTTGTCTGCTTCCATTATAAGCCCCACAGTTTGAACAACACAATGACTTGGTAAAAGGTAATTGGTTAAAGAAGTTGGAGTCAGTCAAGAAGCAGTCCCGAAGGGGAGAAATAGTGAGGATGCTTGTCCTCTCCTCTCATGTGCTATTGGACCATTTTCCTCTTTCATCTCTCTGCAATTGCTCTGCAGTCAACCCCTGTCTTCACACACACACACACACACACGCACATACATCACATTTCCACCATGCCAGTATCAAAGTGCTGTTCTCGCCATGAGTAGTTTTTAATTAACTACCTAACTACCAGCGCTGTGTGCATCTATTATTGTCTTGCTGATGCTAAGGCTTTATGACTCAGTCAGCATGGTGCCCTTCTGTCTGTGCTTTCTGACCATCCCTTCTTTTGATTTTTCAGGTCTTTGAGAGCGATGCTGGAGGTCAGACATACATGCTGCCCCCCAGAAGTACAGAGGTGAGTCAGAAAATGTATTAATTCTGTCCACATACAAGAAAAACAACAACAACAAGAAAAACATTTCTGTCTTAAACGTGTGGCTCTGTTGGTTTTAGCATCATATAGTCTTAGTGCAACCACTGCTCTCCTTCCTGGTTTTGATTGCGGGCTGTGTGAAGATATTTTTACACACAAGGTGTTTGCATGATTGAGGGGATTAGAAAGCGTGCGTGGGTCTGTGTGACTATGTTACTTATTGAGGTTCAAAGCAAAGACTCGTTTCATGTTCATCTGTAGGTGTCTGCCAGATAAACACAGCAGATCTAACAGAAGAAGTTCAACATGGCCAAACTAGCACCCTCTTAAACTCTGTTGCGAACTGAGTTTATTAGAGCGTTGAGTGTTTGGCAAATGTGTCAATCTGGGGAGACGGGAACAATTGGATAATTTCATAATTGGATCATTTCTGAATGATGCGGGCTACACCGTGGTGGTGCTGCTGCACTGTTGCCTTGCCTGTCATGGGTTTGAATCTTGACCTGGGATCAGGATTCGGACCTTTTTTGTGCTCACAAAGCATGATGTCGCATGTGCACTCTAATAATAGAAATGTACAAAATTGCGAAAACAATATTTCTCAATACTTCAGATTGTCTTGGTTTGGAGGATATCCTTAGACAACATACAGGCCTTAGCAGCTTTATAACTGTACGTGGTTCATCACTGGAACAATAACTGAGATGTCTGTGTCCCATCAAGTTATCGTGCTTTAAGAAATAGGTTGAAATGCTGCAAAGTGGTTTTGCAGAATTTTGAAAACATACGCTATGGCCTTCTGGATCAAAAAATGTATGTTTTGCAAAATGTACATTGTGCGAGAGTGAATGGCACAGTTTGCAAACATGCTTTAAATTGAACTTGTATGTTTCCGATGATCTCAGAAAGCCATAGAGTATCTGTCTTGAGGAAATAACTCTTGCAGACGTGCATAATAGATACTTTCAGAGACGGCAGGATTGGTGTCATGGAGATCATGGGTTAACTCACTGGGTGCTATGATTCATAGTAGGAGTCTGTGGTCAATGTGGCAAGTGTTAAAACTGGCCTCATTTAGGGTCTAGAAAGAGACTGATCATGAAGTGGTTTAGGGAAACAATAAAGGCTTTCATTAGCTCTGAGCTTTAATGTTGACTTTAATGGTCTGCATTTTAACTTCTCTCACATTTCCATATATGGAAAATCTAAATCTTACAATGAAAATGTAAAATAACGGTTAAATCTTAAGTTATTATTTTTGATATGTTTACAGCTGTGTTTCCTCACAGTGTGAAAAAAAAAAAAAAGATTTAACACATTAGAGCAAGTCATTTCTTAATGATTTTGTGACTTGGTGTATTACTTGGTACTTAAATTCCCCTAAAAAGTCATCATCTTCCATTAATCCTTTCTTTTCAGTGGGGCCAACTTGTGTTGGTGTGAGCAAGTGTCCAAGCTCCATTGTTACTTAAATGGTTTCTCAGAGAGCCGACAAGATATTCCAGCAGGCTGAGGATGTGCAGATGCTGTCTGGCTGCAGCTCGAAGGAAAGAAGCGAGCAGCTCCATGTGATGGGCCTGTCAGCTCTGCTGCCGTCTGCCCTTACTGAGAGGTTAAAACTTACTCTGACTGAGATAGTTTTGCTCGTGAAATCCACCCTCCACCCACTCGTGCTGTCTGCTGAGCTGTGAATTGATATGCTGTGACTGCATAAAAAAAAATGACAGGTTTGACAGCTAGCACCACTTAAGAAAGTTATTTTATATTTAAAAGGTATCCAGTGCCTTTCTAAAATAATAATCCCTTGATCTTTTTCATGTTTTGTCACTTTATAATGATGAATATAAAGTTTATTCAGACCTTATATGATTAACTGTACAGTGTATAGTTAATCATAGACTGATTCATACACGTCAACTTCATTTGACGTTTTCCAAATGAAGGTTTCAAGTACAATTTTATTTATTTATTTTTTTTTTTTTTAAAAAAGCTCTTGCTAAGCCTGAATTGTTAAAAAGCATCAAATTTTCAACGTTTTCTGCAAAGTTTCAATTAAAATTATAGGAATATACTTTGAGTAGGCCATTCTACCAAATGCTTAAAACCATTTAATTGTGGCAAGGGCTGCTGGAAGGTGAACTTCTTGCCCTGTTTGTAGTCATTTATAAACTCCAGCAGGCTTTCTTCTGGGGTTACTCTGTATTTAGTGCCTTTCACCTCCGCATCAGCTGTAATCCCTACTAAAGACAAACATCCCCGCAGCATGACGCTCTCACTACCATGTTGTACTGGGTTGATAACTTCTCCAGGAGATATTCAGAGCTTTGAATTTTGTTTTCTGACCTCAATCCGAACGTTGTTCCTGACCTGTGTGTGTGTTAATTTTATCTACATGATGCTGTTTGTTAGTGAACATTTGTTGGGTCCCGATAAGTCTGCAGATAATGGATATATTTAAATTTGACTCATGTTATCTCCCATTTACTGATGAGATCAAAAATTTGTTTTTCACAAAAAATACCAAAACAGTACATTGTAGCATGAGGTTTCTAAAGAAACAAGAGGCAAAACGTTTTGATGGATATGAATACTTTAAATGAGCACCCTTATATTGTTGTACATATGTTAAGTTTAATGCAGTTTCATCCATTTTCTCTTTCTCAGTGGCTGGTTCCCAGACTGAATTAAAAGCAGCTGGACAGATTTTTTTCTTCTTCTTCTTTTTCTTCCCTGGCTCTTGACCAGCGTCCCATCACCTCCCATCCATGACATACTGATCCTCTTTGGCTGTCGTTGCCTCTCGGCACACTCCACTAACTCCAAATGCACACATGCAGCTTTAAATCCTAAATTCTGGCAAAGATATTGTCAGAAACATTCAGAGTGTTTTCTGGGTGGCCACTGAAATCACTTTAAGCCCAAGAAATAAGGTGAAAGTAAGTAAGTTTGAGTGGAGCTTTTGGGAAATGAAGAGTAAATTTCTAAGAACTGTAAAAGATGATAGTTGCTTTTTTTTTTTTTTAGGTCCACTTGTTCTCAGCGCTGTAATATTTGTGCTGCTAAGGGTAACAAGATGGCTGTTTTTGTGCAGCACCCGTTACTCTGCGGCTCGTAGGGGGGGGGGACGGCTGACTGGGAAATAATTTCCACACTTGAATTGAAACAGTGCGTCCACACACACACACCACACAGAGCACCTGTTGAAGTCCAGCGTCAAGGCAGAGCCTCCTGCTAGTGCTTGGCCGCCATTCATGGAAACAGGCAACCGTCGGCCCACTCTCCAACCATGAATGAGTGTTCAGTGTTGGTCAGCTGTTGGTCAGGCTTGCCGTCGGAAACCGCATTTCGTATTTCCGGTTGCACGTGTGAGGTCGTGCCATGTTGCCGTGACGCAGAGCTTGGTCATCCTTTTGTCACCACGTTTACCTCACATCACATTTCAGAGAAATCACTAGTGAATCTCGACATGTTCCCTCTTTACGACAGGTGGGAGCGGGAGGGGGGCGGGGATTTCATTCATGCACGAACTTCTAAGTTGTCATTTAGCCAGAAAAGGAGACAAATGTTTGTATGTTGATGTTTCTTGAAAGAGTGTGTGTGTGTATGTGTGTGTGTTTGTTTGTGAAGCCATGCAATGCTCTGAATCAGAGATGTTTGCTTGTCCCTTTAGGCGCTTTGTCTAGCTGGGGAAAAAGGTCTTTTTCCTCTTGAGCTGATTTATCAGACCAAGCAAGCAGCATATGAAATTGACAGACCTCATACACATTGGATTAAAAAAATAAAAAATAAAATAAAACCCTCAGTCACACACACGCACACACACACACACACATCACTCTCCATTTATTGGTCCCATAATGCGTTTGCAATTATCCCCCCCCACTGCCATGTTTCGGTTTAACTTGATATTGTCGGTATATTTGGTGCGGAGCCTTTCCTCATGATCTATGGCCGTAATAATTGTGGCTTTGAGCTGCGATTGTGGTGCCGGCCCCCGACTCCACGACGCAGCAGTGGTGTTTTTTTCCCCTCCAGAGACACAAAGTCTCAACCAAAAGCCCCAAATGGCTGCCTGAGAGGCCGAGCGGCGGGCTAACCCCCCCACCTTAATACCCAACTCAGACCTTCCTCCTAATGCCACAAATACTAGAGCTTGTAATTACCTCCAAGATCTTGGAATCATTTCCAAGCACATTGTCGATGTACATTACGAGCCTTGCAAAAGTATTCAGACACCCTTAAACAGTTTCACATTTTTCATGTTTAAACCACAAACTTGAATGTATTTTATGGGGAGTTTTTTTTTATTTTATTATTATTTTTTTTTTATTGATGGACCATATTGTAAGGGGGAAAAGGAACATTAAATGTGTGGAGTCTTGCAACATTTTATTTATGCAGATAAAATCTGAACAGTGTGGCATGCCATTGTATTCAGTTCCCCTGAATCATTACTGGAAATAAAAACAAAAATAAACATTTTGCCGAGGTCACAGCTGCAGGGCTGCTTCTCTACCTCTTTTGGATTTTATAGACTGAAATTTGACCTATTTTTCTTTGCAAAATATCCCAAGGATGTTGTTTCTAACATTTTGTAGATCCAGCTTTATATGTGGGGTTGTTGTCTGGCTGAAAGGAAAACCTCTATTACAGTTTCCGTTCTTTTGCAGAGAGTCTCGAATGGATTTTCTTCCAGCACTACAGTGTATTTCACATCACTGCCATCTTTCATAGTGGACATGTTAGTTTTTCCAGTTATTTATTAAAAATATTTAGGGAAAATGTTTGTTTTTTTTTCTTTTCTTTTCCTTCTACTGTTCAGTTATACCCGTACTTCCTGCCTACAACATATGGGTATGATTACTTTATAACTCGTTGAGCCCCTATTTGATGTCAGCACCAGCCAGTTTGGCCCTTGTCAATCACCTTGTGTACACAGCTATAATCATGACTATAATGTGCAGCAACTGCCATCTATGGATGTTAAATGAATTTCTGAAAACCTAATTGTTGGACATCTTTGCTCTACTGCTTGATCCGGAGCCAAGCATTCAGACTAATGGAGCTGTATTGATTTGTGTGCTTTGACTCACAGTCACTCCCTCCTCGTTTACCTTTTGTATCTCGTGTTTATCCCTTTATACTTCCTCTCTTTCTAATGCTGCTCATCCTCTTCAATCTGCTTATTCCTTTTGGGACTTACCTTAATTTTTTCCCCCTGTTTTTTTTTTTTTTTTTTTCCACAGAAGCTAAACATGTTGACCAGGATCTACTCCATGTCGCCACCTGATGGGGGCATTTGGGACAACGTCGACGCCGCCTCCGACACGCTGACATGTGTGCGCATGCCGGACGGCCTGACGGTCCAGCTTTCCATCAGAAAACACCAGACAGCCGCTGACCTTCTTTGTGCAGCCTGCAAGGTTGGTTTTCAAAGAAATGACATGTTGCCAGAGTGAGAGGACAATATTTCTGACAGCTGAAGGGGAGAAAAAAGTGAATAGAAGCAACGAGGACATTCGGATTTCATTGTGTAGAGTAGGAATTCATGCAAACTTAATAGGCAAATATAATATTTTTGAAGTCATGCAAGCTTTAAATATTGAAAGTATGAAGCATTAATAAATCATATGTGTTGCTAAATTGTTTTCAAAGCAGTCAAGTCGTGTCAAAAGCACTTTCTGAGCAATGGGTTCGAAAAAAAAAAAAAAAAAAGTGTGCCATATATGGATGATGACGCATCATCTAGATCCTCAGCGTTGGGGGAATTTATTGAATTTATGTGTGAGCACTTAATGGAAGACAGGAAAAAGGTTGTGACAGTTTTTCTAAAATAAATTTGCTAAATGTGGGTCAGCCAGCACAGATAGCACAAGTGGGGAGTGAACTGCCAGACCACATGTTTGTGAACATTTATCAGCTAAAACAGGAGGGCCGTGTTTTACATTGCAATCCTTTTTATGGCCTTTTTATGTCGCCGTGTTATCACTGCTTTTGTTTTAGTTAGCTTTTTTCATTCATGCTTATTCCATATTTTCTATTTTATTCACGGCAACGAATATAGTTATCACGACCGACGAGCCTTAACACAACTCAGTCAAGTTGTAAAAATTGTGTTTGGTCTTTAAGTAAACAGACATTTAAACTTGTTAGAGTTGAGTCACAACTTCTGAAGCCTCTGCAGCAGTATTTGAAGTTGCATTGTGTAGAAGTTGTTTAGTGTCTGACTTTGTACTGCTCCCGGTGAATGACTGCACAAACGTTGACACATGCACGCCCAACGTACGAGCAATAGCTTGGGCAATGCATCTTTGTTTCTCTCCTCCCCATGAAAAGTTGGTAAATAATTTACGCCTCTGCTGCACAAGCAGCTGCCCGGCTAAGTACCAATGCATGAAATATGTCACATTGTTGTGTTCATGCAGGCTGCTGAACATTAAAGGGTCTCTTGTGTAAGCAGGTGAAGCAGCTGGACCCGGGTTTGCACTGCATCCGGCTACACAGACAAGCAGGGCAGAATGTGGAAGTTCGATACTTGGCTCCTGGCGAGCTTCTCCACGACGCGGTGAGAAGGACATGCATGCACTCTCTGAAGAACACAAATAACTCTTTATTATCCTGGCTTTTTTTATTTTTATTTTTTATTGTGTATTGATTTTATTTTCTATCTCGCCGTAGGTCTGGGATCAGCTGGAGGTGGTCTCTGCTAATGTGTTCACGCTGCACATGAGAAGGCCGAGCAGCACCGCCGACTTTGGTGAGCCAGCTTGTGGACAAATTAATGCTTAATTAAAATGACGTTTACCTCATGGCCTCATGAGTTTTATTTAATTCATCTTCTCTTTCAACATTTTTTTTTCTTCCAAATCCTCAGGCTTTGCCATAACGGGACACATTGACAGTCAGAGGAACAGCAGGATTTTTGTGAGCGAAGTTCTCGCCGATGGGCTGGCTTTCAGCGAAGGTGGCAGCTTCTCACTTTCACCTCGAGTTTAAGTCTCGACACAGGTGCCTCCGTAGGCCGCTTTTTGTTCCTGAAACACACCTGCGTTTGCATGTAGGTCTCCGTCCAGGCGACGAGATCCTGGTGCTGAACGGCCAGTGTGTGTCTGCTCTGGACCTGGCCTTGATCCAGACCCTGTTTTCTGAACGGTCCCTGCACCTGAGGCTTCGGCGGGATGGCCCCACGCCATCAGCTCGGATGTCGGACCGCCCCGCTCCTCTGGGCAAACGCGGCCAGGAGGTCCGTGGCAAGCATCACCGAGCCAAGTCATCTTCAGGTGCGTTCTCTTGAGCTGCGTCTCCTTACATTAAGCACTGGGACAATAAGTTTCACTGAAGATGGGAATAATTTTGCAGCTTGCTCTGTTTGTGTGACCGGATATAATTCTAACGTCTATCCGGTCATAAATTTAGCACTTTCCTTTATTGAAAACTCCTTTGTCATTCTCCGGAAGAGACTACGCAGTAGTGGAAACGTCAAGGTGCTTTTCTCTTCCCGCAGTTTTGCATCTTTCGTTTATGTTCATGTAAGTCCATGCAAATAGAAAAGTTCTGCTCTGCTGTCCAACATTTACTGTAATGCCTGAGACCGTAGGTAGTTTTGACACTTAAGCCACAAGATTACCAGCTCACTTCTGTTTTAGTTAAGATCTCCACTTCCTCAGAGTCGGTCTTCTTCACAGAGGGAAAGCGAAACGAGAAATGCAAAAAGAAGTTTAGATGAAGCCGAACAGTTTTACTTGAATCGGAGGTAGAGGAAAGGCTGGAAGAGGTCTTGGACTGCAGGAGGCTCATAATCTCCATGAGTGTATGGTGTCCTGTCAGGCCGGTTTAATCTCCCGGTGGATGCGAGGTGACAGAGGCGAACGGTAAGGTCATTTATCACGCCACACAAGCACAGCTGATACCAGGCAGGCAAAGCTTTTCACTGAAACTGAAAAAAAAAAAAAAAAAAAAATGTTGTTCTAGATGCCATTAATTTGGAAACTTAACCTCAGGATGTTCATGATATGAACTTTGCCCCTCTTGTTGCATTGTTTTTTTTTTTTGTTGTTGTTGTTTCAAATCTTAAAAGGTTGCTGCTGTTTCCCTCATTTACAATCTACAGAGGATTGTGTGCTGCACATAAACAAAAAGCTTCAGTTTCAGTGAAAGTGTTAATTGTCATCTTAATTATAAACAATTCATTAGCGTTTCCTCCAGCATAGACATAATTGAACACAAAGGGATTAATGACTTGAAGGCCTCATTATGGCAGTTTTAAGTGATCAAAGCGCCTGCAGTTTTTGTTCTTCGGCCCTAGAGGGCGTCTGCTCCAAGGCACGGCTGATGAGAGGAGATGAGAGGAGGTAAATGCTGCCAGCAGAGGAATTAACGGTTGTATGACAGGAATTACAAAAAGCCTTTGTATTCGCTGCATGACAGCATTCTGTTTTATTTTTAGAGATCCTGATGCACAAAATAAAAGGATGGGAGAAATGGAAGTTGATTATATCTTTAGAAAATCTGCTCCAGCAGGAAAAAGATTTGTTGACAGTGATTGCAGGCTTAAAAAAAGTTTTTTTTTGTTTGTTTTTTCCTTTTGTTTCCTGCTGCTACTTTGGCCCGTCTCCCAGGCTACAATCACAGTTTATGTGTTTTATCTGCCAACTGCTAGAGAGTTTGCCCTTGAGATGTTGGATCTCAAAACACTCACTTTCCTCTTTTCTGACACCATCGTCCTGCGATCAGCAGTAATATGCAAATAAACATGTTATCTAGAAGAAGCTTTATCTTTTTTATCCTTAAGTAGGATTCATAAGAGATTTTCTAGTGGATTTCTAATAAACTTATTCAAATAAAAAACCGAAACTCGTATACATTCGTTACAGATTTGAAGGGTTTACTTCTCCTAATTTTGATGATTATGGCTTAGAACTAATGGAAATTCAAATTAAAATTTTCAAATTATTTTAATATTTCACGTAGGCACTAAATGTTAATCTTCGTAAAGAAATGTGATGTTGTTCTTGACACAATTGTGGAAATTGTTCAGGAGGCAGGTATCGACACTCTTCACAGGAGGGTAATCCAAGAAAAGGTCATTGCTAAAGTAGCAAGCGATGCAGAGAGCAATGGATCCTAGCATGTTAATGGAAAGCTTAGTGGAAGGACAAAGTGCAGCAGAAAAAAAAAAGGACACAGACAAACAAGCATAACTGCATCCTTCAGAAGATTGTGAAACAAAGTCCAGTCAAGAGTTTAGAGGAGATTTGTTCGAAGTGGACTCCAGCTGGGGCCGGTGCTTCACGTTTCTTCTCCTGATTAACTTGAGGTAATTGTCTCTATGCAGAAACTCCCATGTGTGTCCTGCTTGGCACATCGCTGTGAATGCGTGCCCCCATTTGTGGCATGAGATCTTTTTAAGTTTCAGGCAACAACGTTGGTTTAAAAATGCAACAAACCAGCGTTGTTTCTGTGGTTAGGTAGGATGAGCTGCAGCAGAAAAAAACCACAATAGTTAAAATGAAACAGCTGTGTGACAACCATTCTGCTGCTCTTTCTCTCCAGATGTGTTTGCTGCAGCAGACAATGGAGAGTCCCTCCGCGTAGGTCTGGAGAATGATCACTCCCAGTGTGCCCACAGGCTCGTTCAACACAGCAAGGTAGGATGGGCTTGAGTGGGTACGCTGTACCTTCTCCATCTTTCCTGGACTGTGTGTGTGTGTGTGAGTGTCTGTGTGTGGATGGGAAGAAGGTAAAAAGAACCGTACACGTCGCTTTGAGCCTGCTCCCACTTGTGTGGCAGCTGTGGGGCCATCACAAAGCAGACTGGCACCAATCCGTAGCATTACCATAATTAGGATCCTCCGTCATAGCCACCGGTATAAACACAGCTTATTACTGTCACACAGACAGGAGAGGAGGCTGTTTTGCTCTCCCACTGCCTCAGGCGCACGTACACACATGAAGACGAACGCATGCGAGAGGAAGGCCTGCGAGCGCTCAAAGTGTCTTTATTTTGTGTGGTAATTAATCGAAACAGACTGGTTTTTTCCTCACCAGTCGTTCTTTAATTTGTCTTAAAGAGTCTTGGCTTTGGTCCAGTGCACTGCAGATAATGTGACCAAATCATTTTATAGGAGTTCTGTCTTTTTTTTTATTTTTTTTTAGGTAATTATTTAATAACATTTGGTGGATTCTGATGCATATTTTTGTCTGATCATGTTTTTATTTTTATTTTTTTGTAAACTGCTTTTAATTGAAGTCATTAAAGCGTGAGCTTGCCCCCTGGGAGTTGTTCTCCCCCGCCCCCATTTGCAACGTAGAAATGTAATGTGCTAAAATCTGTACAGCAGTGTTTATTGAGAGCACTAATGAGTGTGTGTGGTCACTGGAAAAAAAAATAAAAAAAGCCAGGTGTTAATGATGTAGACATGGCTCAGTGCCTGAAAGCTTATGAGCGCGTACGTTCATGCATATTCACCTTCTCTCTGCTCACATTTTACATCCTACCAAACAAAGCCGAGTACTGCGATTGTTGTTGGAGTTGCGAGTGCGTGTTTGGCTAATTTCCTCGTTGTGTAATCTGTGCTAAACGGGAAGGGATGCCTATTTGCTGCAGGGACTTTTAGACAGAGATTTTGTGCCAAATATCTGGAAAGCTTCCCTAATTGCTGCTTACCTAATTGCCTGTGCGGAAAAAAAAAAAAAAAAAAAAAAAAAAACGCCACCCAGCGTTTGACCTGAGGTCAGCCACGAGGAAGCCTGGAGACAACAAGCCTCTTCTTCTCTATTCTTTTTGTTTGCCCAGCGACATGAGTCAGTCCTACTGTGCTGGGATCTGCACTGCACCACTTCTGCTGCTCAGCTCCCTGCCGGTTGTGTTTTTACTGGGGAATGAATGGAATATAGGTGTGTGTGTGTGTCTGCGCGCAGGAAGGAGGCCCTGCAATGTGTGTCACTTGCGTCACTGAGGCACAAAAGGAGACAAATGCCACTTTTTCTGATCAGCTATGTCAGGCACTGCGATGGGAATTTAAAAATAAATGGAGATAAAACACAGGGCAAGATATTGCTGCTAGTAAATGACATTTTTGCTTTCATGCAGAGCTGGATTTAATCACAGTGCAGCCGTCTGCTCATTCTCCACGGCAGAGAGAGAGAGAGAGAAAAAAATTTAGTCACCGGGTAGAAAATCGTCCCCGCATCAGCAAATGGGTTTGTGCCTGCCTGCACGATATAAAAGTCAAGGGAGAAAGATGGAGGAGAAGGACAAATTTCAAGTCTCTTGTCGCGTCTTGTAATCAGCGGCCTCATTAGAGAGCGACCACCTTTGATTAATTGGTCGGTTCGCATTGCAGTTTGCTCCAACCCAAGAGAGATCTTCACGTGTCGGTTCTCGTCGTAGGTGTCGTTTGCCATCGCCGTAATCCGTGTGTTGGTGTTACGTAATGAAACGTTTGGACTGAGAGCACCGTAGCAAACAGTTTAACACGGCGATGTGGCTCCGTTATGAGCTGAACCAATCGATTGTTGATGTCAGCCGAAGTGGTCCTGGATAACTCCCACAAGACACCTCAAGCTAAACTGGTTTGTTATGGATAGAGGGCGGAAAGATGCTTACTGGCAACATTAAAACAGATGTTTTTTTTTTGTTTGTTTGTTTTGTTTTTCCTATTTGCCCTCTAAATCTAGATGTAGCTGAACATTGAGCTGGGCTGGTGTGATAAACTTCAGTAAATATATGATTTATTAAGAAAGTTTCACATAAAAAAAACAGTGCTAGTTTCCACATCATGACTAGCTCTGTGTTTTTGTGACCAGAACTACTCTCTAACGGTCAAATTTAACTTTTTTGATATCGTGAGAAAACTGAGTGATAAAACTGAACTCCTTGTTGGAACTGAATCGGTGTTATCCAAAGCAGATGGTTTTTCTCTCTTTCTCTTTTGACAGCTCCACAGTCTGTGTGTTCTCCTTGAAAGCTCCCAATCTTTCACATCTCACATTAATATCACTCTGTTTGCACATTTCCATCTATGCAACACTAATCGTCTCCATCTCTCCCCTCAACTCTTGCCCATAGCATTGTTACGTCCCGCATTGATTATTACAATTCTCTTCTTTTTGATCTCCCTTGAAAATCCCTCCATGAGCTCCAAATGGTCCAGAACTCAGCTGCTTGGAACATCTTCATTTTATCATAACACCCCAGTTTTACTGGAGCTTTCATTGGCTCCCGGTCAAGTTCAGAGTGAATTTCTAAATATGTTAACATTCAAGGTCATCCAACATCTCTCTTCCCCCTTCTCTCTCTGCACCATTGATTCTCTTTAAATCCAGATTTAAAACCAGCCTATACTCCTTGTGATCATATTTCTTTATGTTTTTTGGTTGTTTTTTTTTTTTTTTTTTGGCTCTCTTTGTAAACTGACCTTGTGTGTTACAAAAGACCTGAGTCATGCTTTAGTATTGTCGTCATCGCATAGCGAAGGCATCTTCAGTAAAGCCAGAGCGCTCAGAAAAGTTCAGAGTTGTACAAGACTTGAGCTTGTTGCTCTGTGCTGCATGATTAAAGACGTCAGGCGGCACAACCTCATTAGACAGATCAGTTCCTGGGACTGTTTGGGATACAAGAAATTCATGTCTATTTACAGTACTTTGAGCCTACTAGTAAGGCTTTACTTCTGGTAAAAACCCTGAGACAACCCAGGCTTCTTAGATGTGTCAAAATGTAGGTTGGTGCACAGAAGTCTCTGACTGTGCAACAAAGACACATTTCCTTCTTGCTCGCTTTACTTTACGAGCTTCTGTGATGTAATTTTACTAATAATTTGCATTATATTGTTACTGCTGTCCTGTCCTGTTCTTGTTCCTCCAGCCTGACATTGTGAAATTCAACATTCCCATCTTGGTTTAAGCTAAAGGTTACACAGCGAACAGACATATTAAGCTTCTTTGCATTCGTCCAGACTAGACATTTCCGTAAGAGCATTTAAATGGACTTATAAAGAGAACCATAGGTGGAGTCGTGCTCTGTCTGCCTACCAGAGTGGGGATCCAGCTTGATTCATCTAATTTAGACGCTGATGTTATTAGGCTTTGTATAAAACAGGCATACACACACTCGGACGGTTGCAACATTTCTGGTTCCCGCCTTGTAGCAATATCATTCCCCCTGCCCTTCTGATTGCGCTCCTTTTCTACTCTTCTTGGTGGACGAGAGGAGTATGAAGTGTTATAACGCCTTTAAAAAAAATGTGTAAACTTTAACTTCAAAAGTTCTGCCTGCAGACATAAGCATATGTGCCTTCTTGATGCGTCGTTTTAAACTCGAGAGATTTTTCTTTACTTGTGTGTGTGTGTGCATGTGTGCGTGCGTGTGTGTTTGAGCCTGTGGAGCAGGAGGAGGGAATCATTTGAAGATGTGCGTTTGTATTATGATTAAGCCCATCAGCCGCCATCTGGTCATGAGCAGGCTAATAATGGGGGCTTAGTGCTGGCAGTCCAGTTAATGCGAGCCTCCTCTTGTCAGTCTACCCATCTGTAAACAAGACTGCGCTTAAAAACTTACTGTAGGAACCCACATGGACCACGGCCCATTATGATACCGAGGAATGGCTACTTCGGAGGGAGCCGTGCCGACTTCAGGCCTGACCCGGAGTGATGAAGACCTTCAGCCGCCCCTCTACCTCACCACGTTATTCGAGATCTTGGTGCAGGACCAGTCGCCGGCCCATACCCTGTGCTCCCTGTTTGCCATGTGCTGGTTCTGGCCATCGGGCTCTGAAGTCGAGGAGGACGGCGTGAATCTGGGGTCTGCCCTACTCGGTTTGGGGCGTCTCGTCAAAAGCAAGGTGGCCTGTCTGGCAGAGGACGTTTCTGCTTGTCTGCAATGCCAGAGAGGGTCCAAGCAGGCGGTAACTATGTGCTACGGATGTAAAGATGGGAACGTTTTGTGTCATAATTGTGTCTACATTAATCATGGTTTTGTAAATACATCATAAAAGTACGCAGAAGCTATTGTTGCAGGAGTCCAGGTTGTTTGCTTCCAGCCTTATTAGTATCTTAATAGTATTATAGTAATAGTAGCAGTATTCTTTCCTTCCTATTCACATAAATTTTAAATGTTTTATTGAGTGCAGTATATCTGTTTTTAAACTATAAAGCATTGTTTTCGGAATGCTGTGTGCAAATAATGCAGAATCCAGACTAAGTTTGCATGATTTTAGGAAAGCGTGTCGTCATTGTTGAGTCTTGCCATAACATTTGTAATGTTTGGACACAATCTGGACATTTATTGAGATCCAGCCTCCAAGTCACTGAGATCTATATTTCTGATGTGGGCATCACAAAAAGTAAAAGGCAGTTTACATAGCTAGCCAAATGTATTCTTAGCTGGCATAGTTTTTGATATCTGACATATTATGGTCTGCCAAATATTGCATCCAAACAGTCCTCTGCATTTGCAACATTGCACACTTTGGAATTCTGTTTCACGCCGTTGTTTATTATGTGGTGGATATTTTAAATGGTTTTAATTGACTTTAAAAGGCATTTCTGGAAACTGAGGGGATAAAATGTTCCTTCAGGCAGGGATGTACAAAGTGTGGCCTGTTGGCATTTTTAGCCCTGAAAGGCTTTTCTATGGATTCTGAATGCA